TTGCCCTCTTTCTTATAATCATCTCACTTTCTTGCGGCCACTAAAATGAGTGGCTCTCTGGCATTTTTGTTTGGTAAGACCCCTGTTCTAGATAAAGCAATAGCATTTCCATGGAGACAAACAGGTGGCAGACTCTTCACTAGAAATGTTGCACCGTTAATCTTATGCTCCACTATCGTCCCATTTTCTTAGTAAATTCATTTTTGTTTTTTATTAGGTATGACCACTAAATAAAAATAGAAAGCAGACTTCCACTGGTAGCCATTCCTAAAGTTTGAACTGCCTTGTTAGTTGTTAAAAGTCTGTGTGACCCCATTAACAGCCAACAATAACAAAGCATGCTCTCCCATCTGCTTCTTCAATGGGAGTGGCCTGGTAGCTTCTTACAAGCTTACAAAGTGAATGCCCTTCTTGTGCCATGGATCGTGAATAGAACAGTCCTCTGTGCACATCGAGTTTCTGTGTCATTTTCACTGTAGTTTATGTAAATAAGTAAAGAATGTTTGTGATTTAAATGGAAATGTTTCGTGTAATGTTTAAATTAACTGGGAAAGGAGGCAGACAACATGAAATTGCTGCTGTTTCTGCTCTTTTATTTGCATGCATTTTTCATTTAAAGACGCTCTATCTGATTTTTACTTAAAAATGTGACAGAACTTAACTTTAAACAGTCCAAAGTTATTCCTGACTTACCTTGTGCATTCTGAACATCCTGATCATTCACTGTGATGAGTTTAACAGCACTTTTCACAACTCTCGGAGACAAGTGAGCAGTTTTGCAGCTGTGAGAGTAAAGCTAACAACAACTAAGCACGATAACGGCGATTATCAAACACTAAATGCTTTATAATTAGATGCAAATAGCAAGCAGCACATATATTATGATCATAAAAGTTAGTAAGTAATTTTTATTTATAGAACACCTTTCAGAGACATCAGCTCACAAGGGAGCCAGGCTGGTGCCACCTAGCGCCTCCGCTCAATTTCATTTCTCTCCAGCAAATAGGTCAGGAAGCAGAATACACTAGAAGGTTTGCAAAAACCCTAGAAATGCAAGTCCCGTCACCAGCCAATCAGCGAAGAGCCATACATTCTGTGTTGGCAGCGATTCCCGAGATCGAGGATTTAAAGCCAGAACAAAAAGAATGTTTGGTGAATTTTATCAAGGGGAAAGACGTTATTGCCCTTCTTCCTACGGGGTTTGGGAAAAGCTTAATATACCAGTTAGCCCTGTTAGCAGTGCATTACATACGTCACAACCAAATAGCAGCGATTGTTTAAATAAAAAAAAAAAAAGTACCTGCCTACCGTCGAGGAAACGAATTCTAACACTGTGAGGTCATACAGTTTCCACAAAATGAAACCGGCTGATGTATCAGGCTACTCACAAGGTGATTTACAGATTAAAAATATTCATATTAATAAAACAATACACACGGCAATTAAAACAGGTTTGCAAAAAGAGGCAAGTCTAAATTAGTTTTAAATGACTCAAGAGCTGCTTATACAATATATATGTACTAAAGGAATACATTTTTTGCTCAAATACATGGGAAAGAAATGAGTACAGGATTTTTTACTTCGTTACACTCATAAACAAATACATAAAGAAAGAAAAAAAGAGAGAAAAAAAGAATTTGGCACCACACGTCGGCTGCTTGGATCTGATGGTGCAGATGTGGGTAAGCTGTAGACATAGGGGGTGAGCGAACGGCGCGTATCCGTGAAGAGGAGGAGGCAGACTCACGTTTAGACATGCAAACCGCACTTTGGCTTTGTGTCTAATCCTCACTGTCGTAAATCTCTTCTTTGCAGTGTCGAGACGTGCCTGGAGCTCCACGGCCAGCTGCAGCACTGCCCTCCAGCATGGTAAAACACACACGCCAACCAGCGCATTAGCATACCCACTCGCCCCCTATAAAACGTCAATGTGCATATTGATCCCCAAAGCCCCTATTACAGCTGCAGTAGGCGCTTAGCTGGGTAAAGCCGCTAAGTTCAACGAGAATGTATGGCAGACGGGTTTGACTGTAGACAGAAGAGAGTATACAAAAACTAGACTATTTACTGCCACTGTCATGAGATGAATAACCAAAATAGAAAACAACTGATTCAATTGGCCCACTTTCATAAATGTGTTGCTAGAATGCGCGTATAATCCCCCCAAAGAATCTCTGATAACAAATACAGTGTGTCAGTGTGTGCACATTTTTCCTAAAACAAAACCAGGCTTTGAGGATGGTGCAATAGTAAACTACACTGCTTTTGTTTCAGTTGTTTTAGACCAGATCTAAACTTTTTTTTCCTAAATATTGAAACATAGATTGATGGTCAATACAGTGGATCATTCATATGGGGACAATTTAAATAGTTTTGACAGAGCAATTGAAACTTTGATATGAATTCATACCTTAATTTTAGGCCTATATCACAGTGCAATCTAATATTCTAGAGGTTGTATTTGTAGAATTACTTATACTGTATATAATACTGCTATGGTCAATTGGGCCAATTGAGCAGAAAGCCTGAGGACCAATAAAAAATGGTCTGAGGGCTGCGTTTGGCTCCTGGGCCATAGTTTAGACCAACGTCCTGGACTGTAATAATACATTTTCTTATAATGTAATGGGAATACATTTTTTAACTGTCACTAAGTGCCTTCCATAAATAATAATTACAAGCTGAGCAATGAAGTCCATGAGAGAGTTGATTAAAAATGTGGTCTGAAAGCCAGAGAGACTGAATATTTACTTTACATGTAGGACCCTAATGATGACAATTGGTTATAGCAGGTTAAGCATAAGTGAGCAGATCAGGAGAATAGTGGTTTTGTATTATGTGCCAAGTTTGTATTTTGCATCATGTAATGTCGTGTGCTTGAGAAAAAGTCAAACTTATACAACAAAATGAAATGAAAGACAAAACTAACAGAAGTATTGATTAGGGGTGTGCAGAAATATCCAGATATTGTTACATCATGAGAAATTTGTTAATGCAGTATTGGTGTCATGGGCTGCTCTATTGATATATCGTCAAGAGGATTTTTTTTGCAATTTTTGTGAAAGGAAGCTTGTTTATGCAATACACTTGACAAATTCACAGTTTTGATGATAAAAATAGATATATTTCATACTAACATTGTACATGTAGTGGTTTAAAGAAGAAATATTGTTGCTAAAATGTATTTGGTTCTTAAAAAAAAAAAGTAGCAGTAACAATCGCTGCTATTCGATTGTGACGTATGTAATGCGTGGAACACTCAGTGATGTCCAAGTAATTGCCGGCACAACAGCAAAAAAAGCAGAGAGTGAAAATCCTCGATCTCAGGAATCGTTGTCAACACAGAATGTATGGCTTTGTCTACATCCGTCTCGACCGCTTTGTTTACTGTTGTGCTGGGGTCCCAGGGACCCAGACAGGCACTCGAGTTTGACATCATGGCTTCACAGCTCTTCGCTGATTGGCCGGTGCAGTCTACAACTTCCAGGGTTCTTGCAAACCGTCTAGTGTATTCCGATTCCTGACCTAGTTGCTAGAGAGAAATGAAATTTAGCAGAGTCACTAGGTGGCTCCAGTCTGGCTAAAAAAAAACAGGCTATCATGTGCAAAATATCGATTATCACATGTATCGTGAGCCATGTATCGTGTATCGTACCGAATCGTGAGGTCCCCTGTGATTCCCAGCCCTACTATTGATAGGCTATAATGCTTGATGGATGCATTTGACATTCGGATCTAAAGAGCTTTGTCTAGACTTAAGAGTTGTAAATCGCTCACTTCAAATGAAGAAAGAGTTGGACCTCTCTAAAGAATTTGTTTTATCATAGACGTCCATCAGATGTGCTTGTAAATCTGCCTGAAGATGGAGTGAGGCACTCGGTGGAACTAATAAGAAAAGTATGTCTAAAAGGCTTTGAAGTGAAGGCATATTCGTCAAAATAATGAAGGTGGCTAGCTGCCGTTACTTCTACATGTACCTTACACTTTACTGTGGGATACTATTACAAGCTACACATGTGAACTACCCTCCTCAGAGACCAAGACGTTCATTAATTGCGGTTTTGCGGACATATTGAACCAATAACAGTTTGCAGTGTACGTTTGTTTTGGTAGCCCCGCGTTACCATCCGTCTCCTGGAGATTGGATATAGTAGTTAGCAAATGGTGAGAGCTCTTTTTACACAAATGATCCGGCGCGTCTTCTTTACTTCATCATTTAGAGTGGGATTGTTAGGGGAGCCTTGTTGGAGCTTGCCTGTGGCTGACAGAATAGCTCCTGGGGGAACATTGAGCCTCAGTAATATCCGACAATGAGGCAATGAAAGCAAAACACTCCAGACAGCTCCTACTAAATTCTGATGCACACTAATGAGGCAATACCTGATTTTTGTCCCCATTATATCCAATTATACATAGCAATACTTTATGCGTAACTCCCCTGGTGCTTATCTACAAAAATGTTGCTTTTTTGTGATATATTTTTCAAACTTACCCAAGTCTCAAACATCTGGATAGATGAAAACATTAGATATTTTCTGTACACGCAAAGCAGGTGTGAGACGGAGAGGCTTGTTTTTGTGTGGGACTAAGTATTCTCAGACCTCAGAACTGTCAGCACCAAATAATTCAGGATTGATACAAACGTCTAACTGTTACGTCATGTTAAAAACTTTTAAAATGGATTTTGCTGAATTAAACCTTTAGCTATCAGGATACGTTTGCTTATTTAGACAGAATTGTATTGATTTGTTTTACCCAATGTGTAAACCAACTAGTCCAATAACATCAATGATGGGATCTAAAAGCAGGTCATAAAGAGATTAACTATCTAGCCTGAATGACCCATTATGGAAATGTATGTACTGTAACACTGATGTATGGAAATCCCCAAACTGCATAACGTATATTTTTGCATATTGTGGAAAAATATTATTCTCTCAAAGCACGAAATAAACTGGAATGCTCATTGTTGAATAAAATAATACAACTTACCCAGCACAGAAGTTTTATGTCTTAAATTACTGTATTTATCAAAAGTTGGTGAGGAATGTTACAATGCATGTTAAATTAAAGGTGCTTCAAATGTACAAAAGCAGACAATATTTACAACTTAATTACAAAATATACACTAAATGTGGCTTTAAGGCTAAACACAGACTATAGAGTGCTTGAACTATCTGTGATAAAGTAACAGTGCAAAAATGTAAAGCCAGCAACAGAAATACATTAGTCAAGGGATAACTTAAGGCTAAGATTAACCAGTACAAGGCAGGTTCAAACGGATAAAAGCTTTTGCCCTTGCACCGAAATAAGACACAGAGTCTAAGGAATCCGTACTATGAGGCATACAGTGAAAATACAAAAAAGAGCTTACAAACACGTGTTCAGCTGTATCATGTATAAAGTAGGCATCTATTCACATGAGGTAGTTGCAGTGAAGACAGCTTGCGCAGGTGTATCGTGCGCAAAGGCGACGGAACACCTGCTTTCCATTGTTCACAGCTGGCTGTACTTTGCTTTGCAGTGCAATATGTGTCTGTGCAACGTGTCTATTCTGTCCTGGAGCAGCGCGGCGTGCTCGTCCGACAGGAAGCCCAAGTGAAAGTACAAAGGCTCGCTGTCTCGATAGAGCTCCACGAGCCTGGTCCGGGCGTCTCTGCGCCTGTGCAGCTCGGCCACGCGCTGCGCTGTCCTCCGCCTGAAGACGCACACAGAACTCAGCACAGTCTTGTGATATTTCTCCCACATGTCTAACACTCTGTATCCATGCACGAGTCCTGCCTCATTATCTATAAAAACCAAGTCTCCGCGAGGCGTTCTGAGCAGGTTGTTGGTGTCTCGCTCCATAATACGCGAGTCCCACTGCAGGCTGAACAGATTACTCACCAGCCTGTCAAAGTTCGCGGTCAAATAGTCCAAAATAATGAGGTCTGACCATTGCATGAGCTCCAGCAGCTCTGCTGCGCTTTGGTTCCACAGTTGTTTGAGGCTGGGGTGAAGCCCGCTGCTCTCCTGCCTCAGCGGGGCAGGTGTCACCACTCCGGTCAGGTTAGAAACCCACTGCGTGAGCGAGACCACGGCTCTTTCGCTCCACTGTAGCCCCTCCACGCGCGTCCTTACTGCCTGCCACTGCTCGCTGTCAGTACTAAGCTGGGACAGCACCAGAGGAGGCAGGTTCGTAATGCCCAACAGACAAGCGAGGTAATACGTCAGAGTTTCCCCTTGCACTTGATCCGCGTTGATGCCATAACGCACACAAGCTTTAGAACCGTCCTCAAAAGTGGCGAGCTGATTGGATATCCTCCCACAGCCAGTCTCTAGCTTCACAATGCGATATTCTCTGGCTTTCTCCCTCCACTCCCGCGCGTCCTCCTCCGTGAAGCCCACTGGAAGCAGCTCCTCTAACCGTTCGCTCCAGAATATCCCATCCTCCAGAGGGGAGCCTCCTAACTTGACCGGACCCCCTGTCCTCGCTGACCGTCTCTTGTTGTATCCATTCAGATGGTAATGACTGCTTCCTAACGTGTGATCCGTGACGTTGCGACCTCCCAAGTGAGCTTTCTGTGGTGCCACCGGGACAGCCAGCAACGCACGGAAACTTTTCGAGGAGAGGTCCGCAGGGAGAGCTCCCCCTGGTATTGTGAATCCCCTCTTGTGTCGCTCCAAGCGGCTCTCCAACGCGCTCCACACGTAAAACACGCTCCCGATGGCGCACATGAACAGCAGTGCCAAGAAGTTTGCGGAGACGAGCCTCATGGTGAAGGTGTAAAAAGACGAGAATCAGTCCACAGTGGAGCGGATGCGAGCGTCCCATTCAGCCCCATGGAGATCACACATGCTTTCAGACCAGTTCATGTCCGTTTTCTATAAATGTCCTTTAAGCGTAGAACGATAAAACAGAAAATCCACCTCCAGTGTGTCCATTATCTCCCTTTTATCCAAGCATCAACAGCCAAACGCACAGAGAGATGGTCTAATCTCCGTGCGTCTTCACCGGGCGCTGGGTGAACTGTGCTGGCGAGGAGGAGAGAGAGCGGTGTGACTCGTTGGAGAGTCACGTGACGCAAGTCCCGAGATGGTGGGCGGGTCGTGTGAAGGAGGGAGCGGGATGGTGTGCATGTGCATGTGTTCGTGTGGTACTTTTGCGCGCGCAACTATTATCATAATTGATATACCTAGGCAAGGGAGGATTTTTCCCCCTCAAAATTATGTCACTATTTTAAATAAATTATAATCTCTGCCGGTAACAGCAGAGATGCGCGCGTTAGTGGGGCAGAATAAGACAGAGATAAATTGGGTGCTGCGCCAGTGAGAGGAAACAGCGTTATTGGTGCGTAGCATTTCTGGGGCCCTGTGCTCTTTTAATTAATTATCTGTGAATGAATGCAGGCTGGAGGTTTTATAATATAGGCCTAACCTGTCAGATAGTTTAAGGTTTAGTCTAATTATAGCTCTCCAAAGAAGCGCACTGGGGATTAACTGCAAAGATCTATTGTATACAGTAAGATGAACTTTGAATTAAATGGACTCAAGTTTGCAAGTAGAAATATATCACAAATATCCACTGAAATCATTGCTAATGTTATCAATGTAATCTAAAATTTGGGAAGTTTTTCATTATAGCCTTATAAAAATGCAAAGGGAGACACATTTCTGTCACTGTCCCCACCAGATGCTGTCTGACAGATGCTTTCAAGTGTAATGATACGCTGAGGAGTTTGGCAGCAGGATTCTTTGCTGTCTCTATAGGCCCATCCAATAAATGGTTGACTTCATATAGCATATATCCTGAAAGCACGCATACATTTACATACGGCAGAGTGAGATGTCATGCTGGTTTTCTTCCCTTAGTTATGGCTAGGCCTGTCACAATAACACATTTTGAAGTTTGATACACTGCAAAATGAAATATAGATGATAAACATTAATATTGAAACTAATTTATGCAACTGAGACAACAGCGCAAGAGCAGATTTATACCACAAAAACTATTCTAAATCTACAATACTGTTAAAATCGTGAGCTACAATAAATAAACAGCCAAATGAGACACTTTAGTTCTTCTTAGTTCTTATTTTTTCAACCCTTTTAGAGCTTAAATCTCATTGTATAGTCAAAAAATAACCAAAAGTTCCCAGTAGTGCAAAGAAAAAGTCTGAACGATAAATACTGACCCCAAAAATATATTGTTCCAGCTTTCATATGTTGAAGGATAACTCGATGTAGTAATTATTGTGACAGCCAGGCTGGTAATGGCATACATGCAGAGCAATAAGATTTCTAATTCAGTTTAATAGTTGGTGTATTTATGTTAATGGTTTCCTATCCATGCCACAGCTTCAATTTGTGCTGCTAAGTAACTGCGTGTTTCCCCTAAAACCCACCAGGGGCAAAGTTATGTCGACTCCAGCCTTTTTTAGCATGCTTTTTGTTCAACTCCATTTAACATTCATGCACACTGACTTCCTTTACACGTTTATTCATCATTACCAAAACCCTAATCTCTTTAACTATTCCCCTCATGAACTTTGCTTTCTTAATCAAATTAATTGAGTCATATTCATAGCAACATGTTTTCATACTAAATTGACTGAAATAAAAAGACAACTGCAGAGACGAACGCTCAGTTACACATTAAATGGCCCATATTACTATTTTATTAATATGTTATAATGTTGTTTCCTTATCATAAACATACCTGGAGTTGTGTTTTGCTTCATTCACACAAAAGCTGCACATTTAGGCTGAGTTGTTTACTCAAATAGAAAACACCCTGTTCCACCTTGTGATGTCACGTGGTCACTGGTGGAGTTCGTGATTTGGGGGCTCTGGGCGAACTTGAGTTTCGTGCACTCACTATAATGCACTGTTTTGATGTTTATTTTTTTGCATTTTTTAAATATTTATTGTCTGTTCTTCCCTATTGTTCTTGAGACACGCACATCTCTATCTGAATTAGAGTGGATTGGAAACTTGCCTTGTTAGTTCAGTCGCCTACTAGAAAACCAGAGCTGAAAGTAGTTTTATTTTTTTGCTGGTGCAATTACATTTTTGTTTACATCCATTAAATATGATTATGATTCTGCTATGATTCTGTTCAAATCAGGGTGAAGCTGACTTGCACTTTCACCGTGAAAGGGGTGAATGCTTTTACAGTTAAAATAGATTTGACAGTCAGATTCTGTTTTGATGGTGTTTTCTTGTTTAAAAGTAAAACTACTCTCATTTAATGTCATATTGAGAGAAAATCAAGTTTCTCTGAGGCAATTGGATGGGGGCGCCTCCAGGTTTGGGGGCCCTAGGCAGCTACTTACTGTTGCCTAATGGTAGCGCCGAATATACATGTGGTAATACAGGAAGTGCTTCACTATGTTTCTAAACTCCAAACACCTTCACTAGAATAATTTCAGCCCTGGAATTGCCGTTCTCTACCGAACTAAAGGTAAAAAGGTAGCTGTTAACGTGACTGCTTGATGACATCGCAAGGTGGAACAGAGCATTTTGAGCTTTGGAGATGTGCACAGACATAAAGAATTACTCAAACATGTGTGAACGAAACAAAACCAAACTCCAGATATGTTTTTTTGAAGAGGTAACAACATTCGAACATCGCTTAAGGCTAACAAAAGTCAGTTTGCGTAATATAGGGCCTTTAGTGCATGCTTTACAATGTCTAAATAACTTAAGAAAATGGTGCTTATTGCTTCTTGTTTAGCCTGTATCAACTGGAACATGTAATTTTCAACAGAACATGTCGTCTTATTTTTTCTTATATTCTCATTTGTTCAATTCCCAGCCTATGTTTGAATCAGTAATGCAGATTGACAGCAGTAGCAGCGTGAGGGAAAAGGAACAAATCCCAGTGTGTGGAGTTGTATTTATAAGTTCTGAAATCTCTGAAAATGGTTTGTGTAGTGGTGCATGGCTGAGCATATATTTCTCTACTCAGTTCCATTGAAAGTGTGCTTTTTCCTCTGATGAGAGTTATCCACTTCATATAGTATTACCCACTGTAAACTGAACAATGTGTCTCTGATTGCTAACACCTACAATTGTACAGAGAGTTAGGACTGCTCAGTTAGGCCTGTCACAATATATGTTCGACCAAGCAATCATTTTTGAGGGTCAGTATATGTTAGATGGAACCATATTTATCATATCAGGTCTTTTTCTTTGTACTACTGGGGAACTTTTGTTATTTTTCTGTTCTAGGATTATGATCTGTAGAGAGAAGAATGAATAAATTATATGTCTCATCATAGATACTAACTACTAAATTTTGCTATTTATTAATCACAATCGCAGTTTTTTTGTGATAATCCTGCTTTAGTGTGATTGTGTCAGTGGCATAAATTAGTTTAAATATTATTGTTTATGGTCTATATTTTCTTCAACTATATTTTGTACTTCATAATTTTTCAGTTGCCATGCCGTGTTTAAAAAAATGTATGGGAAGGATTTGAAATAGAAATATTTTAGGCTGGGAGCCAGATCCACTCCTCAGGATATTTTTTAATACCCTTTTTTCACTATTATTTCCTGTTATCTTATATCTTGGGCCATCACAAGTAGATAGAGACCAAGCTCAACTTGGCTCTGTTTGGATTCAGGGCCCAAAAAACACCCTATTTAGGAAAAAGCTATTTGCGAAATTATGTAACTGTAAACACTGAGGTACTGCAACTGCACAAATTGTCAAATAATCTTAAAATTTTGCTTGGTGTATCCTGACACATTGGGGAAAGTAGCAGAAAAATATTCTGAGGCTTGCTGCCTTTCTGCTGTTAAATATCACCCTCAACATTCCCCTAAAAGACAAAAAAAAAACAAAAAACTGTCTGTCCGCCTGACAAATTGTCTTCAAAAGTGATCATTTCCAGGCATTTTATTACACATATCACTGCCTCAAATGTACATGAAAAACTCCCCAAGTTTATAAGCTTCAATTTAAGTCCAAGATGACCTTTGTATCTAGAGAAAAACAGCTGCTGTGACCAAAATTCTTTACTGTACCTCAAATCGGCAGAAAACAGAACTTTCATATGGGGTTGAGAGTTGACTTATGTACTGCTATACTATATGAAGTGAATTACATTACATTACATTAAAAGTGAATAATAATGAAAAAAAAAAAAAACCTGAATAATATTAAAACTTCAGTTGGACAGGGGTCAGGGTGCAAGATAAAACTATAACTAGGTTACACACACAAACACACACAACCAACCAACACCCTAACCCGGGGGTGGGCAAACTTTTTGACTCATGGGCCACAAAATATTCTAAAATTTGATGGAAGGGCCAGACCAGGAGCAGATGGATGGAGTTTTTTGGTAATCCACCTCATAAGAGAAAAAATAACATGGGATATGTAGAAAATATATCCTATATTATTGAAATATCCCATAATTGAAAATCATTACAAAACATTACAATTAAATATCTGTCTTTCAAGTCCTACGGTATTTACTATTTATTGAAATAACTTTTAAAACACTGAAAATTATGATGATTATTATTATTATTCAAGTTTGGCAGGCCGCATATGGCCCCCGGGCCGTAGTTTGCACATCCCCGTCCTAACCCTTCATGTCACATCTCATCCGAAGTTTTTCTCCAAAGACAATTTTGAGAGAAGTTGATCAATTTTTTTGTTATGAACAGAGATTGGGTCTGTTGGGAGACTGGTCTCCTTCTCTAGGCGCCCACTGCTTCTAGATTGATAACATTAGTGAGTAAACTTGTCAGATTGTTAACTAACAAAGCCAACCCAATGTAGCTAGCTGGTAGGAGTAGGAGTAGGAGAGATATTATGTGTGTGTGTGTGCATAATATCATCAGTAAGATTAAAATTTGAAATGTTTTTCCTAGAATATCACTCTGAAATGAAACCCACAATACTAGCTATGTTCTTAGATGCTCAGTTTTTGTACAACTCATTCCAATTACAATGCCACAGGGTAATAATAGATGTACTATTGCAAACTTTTGA